AGCTTTTCCTACAGTATTTAAACAATGTAATATTTTTACTTAACATCTAATATGTTGATTTCTAATGCTTTCCAGGGAGTGGAAAGCAGCACCTTTTGCTTTTTCATGCTCTTGGCTGTTAGTTCAGTTGATCAGTTCTGTGCTGTCGTGGTACAGTGCTCATGTCCAAGGACTGCAAACACTAAGTATAGACATTCTGACTAGTTCAGTGGTGTTTGGCATGAAGTGCTGCTTTTGGGGGGCCTGATAGAAGCCTGGCAAGTGATCCATATTTCTTCCCAGCCTTCTTCCTGAGGCAGGAGCTGGCAGCTGAGCTGTAACAGGATCTGCCTGAGGCAGGAACAAGTTTTGAAAGTTGCTTCACCTCCAGGAGGTGTCTGGGGTGTAACTGCCTTTGGTGTGAAGCATCCTGGTCATGTCACATGGCCCGTGTCCCACAGGTAATGTTTCTTAAGGTTATTATAAAGAGAAAGAAGAGAGAAATAGGAGGGGTGGTTGTTGCTGGTTTCCTGGAAGTTGATCTTCCTCTCATGTGAGATCATCATGTGCTTGTGCTCAGCGTGATTTCATGGAGTTCATTTCAAAGTCCTACCAAAAACTGATAAACCCTACAGTGTTTAAAACAAAAGAAACGTCATATTTTATGCTTGTTATTTAATTTTACATTCTAATTGTTTCAAACTTTTATGGTTTAGAATGGTATAATTACACATTTACGTTGGAAAATACCTTGCTTGTTGTGGCATTCACTGATAATAATCCTTTCCTTAAAACACTGTATTTAACCCTGAAAGAGCAAGAGAAAGAAGAACTAGTATTTACTGACATTTTGGTCTTCTATCTGGGTTGGAAGGGCTGTTGCAGTGAGTGACAGGTTTGACTCTCAAATCAAGTGCATTTGGTTTGCTGGACTGTAACCCTGAGTGGGCAGGAAAGGTTCTGCAGTGATCTCCATTCCAGTCTTCAGTGTCTTCTCATGAGCTGGTGCAAGGACAGCATGGACAGTCACATTTCCTGGGAATGTAATTGTTGTTCAGATTAGGGATTTTTCACTTGGTTCACATATTGCTTGAAAAAATTGAGTCTTTCCTGAATGTCTCTGAAATTGTCAGTAAACCCCAGGTTCTGTCTTGGCCCAAGGTTGGAATAAGGTTTTAGTGTTTTCCAAAGTTAATTCAAAAAACATGGCTTGGAAATGAAAAATCCTGTAAAGTGACATTTTGGCTTCTTACCATGACCCACTTTCCCTTCATTTCAAAGGGACTGTGTCTTTGAGTCATGATACCTTCCTTTTTATTTTAGCCACTCGCACTCATTTAAATGCACATATTTTCAAGGTGAGATCTTGGAATTCTTGAGGAATTTGGACTTATTTTAAAAACAGCTTCTGTATCTTGTTAATGGCTATAAAATGCCTACAGCATCTCTTGGGTGGAATGCATTGAGCAGTGCAGTTGTGACCGTGCTGTTTGCTCAGCTTTGTTGAGTAATCTCAGCTCCCATCTGCAGCTGTACTCGGGTTTAGCTGGGCTGCTCCGGGCTGTTCCGTGCTCCTGCTCGGAGGGAAGGCAGGGAGAACAATCACCCAGTGGTTGCTATAGCATTTCATTAAGGAGCCTTTTCCACCGAGCCGGGAAAGGCTCCTTTCCCACTTGGCAGCCGAGCAGGAATAAAAGAGCTCCTCTCAGCTCCTTCCCCTGTGCTCTCAGAGCCCTCCAGCTCTGCCCCTGCTGCCGGCCTTGCGCCTGATGGCTCTGCTGGTCCTCACTCACACCGCAGTGAAAAGCTGCCTCACTCCCTCAGCTGTCTGGCTGGGCACGGCCAGAGGGCTGTAAATGCTGGCACTCAGGAGGCTCCCCGGTCCCCTGGCCAGAATGTGTGAGGAGACTTCAAATTACAGTGTCACAGGATTAGTAACAAATTCATAGTTAAGAAATATATTGATAATATAATGAATATTGTGAGTATAAACGATGAGGTGAGGCTGTACCTGGAGTCAGTTCTGGACCCCTCATGACATGGAGGGGCTGGAGCGTGTGCAGGGAAGGGAACGGAGCTGGGAAGGGGCTGGAGCAGCAGGAGCAGCTGAGGGAGCTGGGGGGGCTCAGCCTGGAGAAAAGGAGGCTCAGGGGGGACCTTCTGGCTCTGCAACTCCCTGACAGGAGGGGGGAGCTGGGGGGGGTCGGGCTCTGCTGCCAGGGAACAAGGGACAGGAGGAGAGGGAACGGCCTCCAGCTGTGCCAGGGGAGGTTTAGATTGGATATTAGGGAATATTTCTCAGTGGAGAGGGTGGTCAGGCACTGGCACAGGGCAGTGGTGGAGTCACCATCCCTGGGAGTGTTCAGACATCGTGTGGATGTGGCACTTGGGGACAGGGGTTAGTGCTGAACAGTAACAAGCGTTGGACGTGGTGATCTTAGAGGTCTTTTCCAGCCTTAATGATTCTGTGATTCATGGGACTTCAAAACCATTTAAGGAAAAACTGAGCCAGTGATATTCTGGGAAGTATTTATTTTAATTACCACACCAGGAAATTCCTGTATTAGAAGGATTTATGCAGAAACAATCAATGCTGGGAAGGATGTCCAGATTCTGTCCTGCTTCAGTATGTAACTGTGTGTGTGTAGGGGGGTTCTCCCAAACACTTCATTGCGTTGGGTGGTTGTTCTCCCTTTTCCGGGGTGGTCTGACCCCACCCAGGAGCTGCAGTGGGGCCTGAGGGTGTGGGTCAGTCAGTGGGAAGTGCTTTGGTGCAGGTCCTGCCTGGTGCTGTGCCGAGGGCAGCAGTTCCATGAGGCAGAGCCTCGCTGAGGATCCTCTCACACCTCTGTGTTCCCTCCGTGCTCATGGGGGAGTTAAATCTGGCTGGGTGTGGTGATTGGGCTTCACAGTTAAGTGGGAGACTAAATAGATCAGTTTTCCTCATACTGCTCACTCGGGGCAGTGCTGCTCCACCAGATTAACAAAAAGTTAATACCTGCTGATCCTATAAAGCTTTCTATATATAGGGGCTGTCATTCCTTGTAGTGGTTTGGGATTTGAAGTACAGCTGTTTTGGAAGGACTTCTTTCTGCTCTTCATAATCCCTTTTTTTTGTGGTCTCAGATCTGATTGTGAGTTCTGTAATGTACTTTTGCAGAAGTTGGCTGACGGGTAGGCAGGGATTTGTCTGGGGGATGCTGGGCTGTGACTCCACTGTGCCAGGCTGCACACTACGGAACTTTTCTGTATCAAGTTACCTTTATTTCCCCTCCCTGCTCACACAGTGGTCTCTGTTCACCTCCAAAGAAGCTGCCAGGAAGCTTAAACTCATATTTGAATAGTTTGGGGATAGATCCAGTGGGAAAGGACAGTGAGGCTTTCTGCTAATGGACAGGAGGACTGAGCCCCTGTGTCAGTGTTGTGCTCTGAGATCCAGTGCCGGCCTCGCTGCCCGGGATGTGGCAACAGGATCCACACGGGGAGGATTCTGTGACACTGTTCCAGCGTGTTCTTCTGGGAGCATAAAATATTCAAGGCCAGGTGCAATGTGTTTGAGGATCAGTTGCATGTTTCGTAAGTCCCTCTTTCAGCATCTTTGTTCCAGTATTTATTTTCTACTCTCGAGTTTTTTTAGTTTAAGCTCAAGAGTTTCAAGTCCCATGTGAATTGTCTGGACCTGAATCGCTTTCAGGTTTAGGATCCCAAATCTTCTGCTTCTGGGTGAAATCCCCTGGACATTGTTAAGCATTTGGGGGCAATGCCATCCCCAGTCTTGGCAGGTGTGATCCACTCACCTGTATCCAGGAAGACAGGTGGGAATCGTGTAGAGAAAAGGGTTGTTTGGTGTTTCCAGTGCCCTCCCTTAATGTGAAAATTCCCATTGCAAAGATACTTTTTCTATCCCAAATACAGGCATTTAGAAATACCTGAAATTTCTTCAGGCCAGTCAACTTCTATGTTGAAAATATCTTTTTGGTGGAAGGTAGTGGTGTTCAGGCAGGGTTTTATTTGGGAATTAGGTAATCTGTCTCTGACCTGGTTCCTCTGGCAGTTAATTTATTTGTATGGAATGTGAAATGCCCTGGTGCATATGTGGCTTTCAGAAGAGATTATTTCTCTGCATTTCAATTTTCATGTTTTCTGTAGCAGATACCTTCAGCACTTAAATCATAATTAATTGTGAACTGGAAGAATCTCTGGCTGAGCTAACCCTGCTTATAAAGTAAAATCTGTGCAGATATTTTTAAATCCCACGTTTGCCACATCCTTCCCACAAGCACAGATGTGATTGTTTGGAAAGACACAAAGGACCAATATTTAAGTGTAAACATTGTGACATTTGGCTCTTTGAATTGCTGAGAAATTCATACAAATAACTGTTATTATCAAAATGAGTAAATGGCAAAAGGGCTCAACTAAGATGAACTGGGTGTGGTTCATGACTTTCCATGGAGCTTCAGGGCTGGGGGGAAGGCAAGGAGCACCTTTATCCCTTCAGGCAGGAGGATGGTTGTGGGTGCACCCCTGCAGTGCCATCATGTGCAGGGGGCCCAAAAGTGGAGTACCTCAGCATATTTTCCTCAGTCACCTGAAATGTGGGGCTTATTAATAGCATTTGACACAGTTTTTTCTAGTCACGTAGTGAGCAGGTTCTCTGGGGGTGAGGGAGCATTCCAGGAATGGTGAACTGGGCTTTGTTCAGACCCCTGGGGCTCAAATCTCCGGTGAACAACTTTATTTTTGCAAATTTTGGAATGCAGAGCTCTGGCCTGAGCAGTGTAATTGTGAGGGAGAGGAAGGAGAAGGGAAACCACCAAAGAAAGGGCTCAGTGCACTTTTGGTTTGGTCACAGAATTGTGATGGTTCTTTTTAACAAGTAGTTCCATCAGAACTGAGTGTGTCCTGAACTGTGTATGAGTGTGAGATTTGGTGCTTGCAGGTGCTGGGTTCTGCTGCTCCTCCTCCTCTCCAGAGCTGGGAAAGGAACCCACGTTTGTTTGTTTGTTTGTTTTCCTCAGGCCAAATACATCTCGCAGTGCATCGATGAGATCAAGCAGGAGCTGAAGCAGGACAACATCGCAGTGAAGGCCAACGCCGTCTGCAAACTGACCTATGTGAGTGCCCTGCTGGCATCCAGGGACTGGCACTGGGTTTGTGCTGTCCTGCTGCCCTGCAGCCAGTCTGGGATGGCAGGGCCTGCTCTCCTCAGGCTGTCGGAGTGCAGGGACAACACTCCACAGGTCTGACGTCAGAGACTGCATGTTCCTGTTCTGTTTGGTACAATTGGATTTTACTGTGATGGATCAGGGAGCAAACCTGATTTAAAATTAAAACAATTCTAAAAAAAGGTTGTTTTAGACTGGGTTGTTTCTTATCACACAGTGCCATGAGCACTTGAAACTGGTTTTGTTTCTCCTTCCTCGGTCCTTTGACATGGAGAAGACAAAAATGATGGTAAAGAATTATGTTCTGGGTTTTATTTTAAAATAAATCCAGGAAGCAAACCCTTCACACCAATACTTATATAACTGTATATCATAGCATCCCAGACTGGTTTGGGTTGGAAGGGACCTGAAAGCTCATCCAGTGCCACCCCTGCCATGGGCAGGGACACCTTCCACTAGCCCAGGTTGCTCCAAGCCCCGTCCAACCTGGCCTTGGGCACTTCCAGGGATGGAGCAACCACAACCTCTGTTGTCTGAAATTAATGCAGACTGTTTAAAACTTGTTTCTGGTGGAACTTTGAGACGTCTTTCATTTCCTGTGAATGCTGTAGAATGTAATATTACTCATAAGCTGGACATGTCGTGTAGTATTACTTTCAGCCTCCTGTTACATCTCCAGTTTTGAGAGGTATCTTGACCTGTTTCCTCAAGTCCCTGGTTTCAGAAGTTTGTTCTCTTGGTTTCTCTGCTCACAGTTACAGATGCTGGGCTATGACATCAGCTGGGCTGCTTTCAACATCATTGAAGTCATGAGTGCATCCAAGTTTACATTCAAGGTGAGTTCTCTGTCCCTGCAGCTGTCCTGGCCAGGCTGCTTCTTGACTGGATGTCCTTCTAGTCAGTGGGGAATCCTTGGGCTGCTGCTCTAGGCTGCTTCTGCCAGGTGTTTGACAACAGCTGTCAGATTCTTTTAGTGTTAAAAAACAGGGTATTTTTGTGTGAACACCACCTGAGGTTCTTAGTAGCAGATATGTTTTATTTTGTAATAGCTTTATAATTTTTCTCGAAAGATTTGTTTCATGCTTTTTCACCAAACAGGGGGTGGAATGTTGCTTCCTAAGGAATAATTTCCAAATTGGGCTTAAGTCCCTGAAAGTCAGGAGTCAATACAGACTAAGTGAATGTGGTAGACAGTCCTACCTTATTTCTACATCTTGGTGGTCATTGAACCTGTGTGTTGTAGAGAAGTGGAGAAGGTGGTTTTGTTATCCCTCAAACAGATGTATTATCACTAGAGATGTTACTTGTCTGAGATTATTCTTTCCCCTTTCCTAGAAAACCCTGTCATGCTTTTTCTGTTACACAAACCTAATTGTTCATATTTTTAGCATTGCTTATAAAGCTGCCAGTTGTTTTTTACCTACACACTGTGTAAACTGCCTCTAAACCAAAGCTGTGCTTCCCTCCCTGCCCTTGCCCAGCGCATTGGTTACCTGGCTGCCTCCCAGTGCTTTCATGAAGGGACTGATGTCATCATGTTGACAACGAATCAGATCCGAAAGGTAAATGTTTTGCTTCAGTTCATTTTGTTTTGTTACACTCTCTCCCTGCTCGTATTTTTGCATCTGTACAAGTATTTCTCTTTCAGGAACACAGAGGTGTTTAAGTAGAGTTCTTGATTTCCAGTCTGCTCTCATTGCACAGGCTGAGGGATGACTGAAACCCTCAGGAGCCCCCCGGGCCTCCCTGGTGCTGTCTCATTCCATCTCTGTGTCTGTTCAGCACAGACAGTGGGGACAGCAAGAACTTTGTTACGTTCACTGGTCTCTCAGGCAGCCCTTGGGAGAATGTAATGGGTAGGAAAAATGTCCCCATTCCTGAAGGAAAAGGAGCACTCACCAGCTCCACAAAATTTCTGTTTGTGAGGGCTGCTTTCTCCTGGTGTAACAGATCAGACTTTGGTACAATTGGGGGTAAAAATGGTGCAGAATGTATGTGAAGTTCTGTATTCGTGTACCCAAGTGTTGTATTCATTTTCACAGAGCTTTATCACCTGATTTTTTCAGACTTATTGGCTTACAGCATAATTTTCCCATTCCTCAGATCACAATTGTTTTTAAAGCTCTTAAGTTCAATTTTTTTTTTTAAAGTATCACTGCTTTAAAACTTGACTGATCCGGTACAAGCTGTGCCTAGATTTTTACCATCTAGGGAGCCAAAATGTCTTTTACTTGCTTAAAAAAGATCAGTGGGATGTTATCCAGTATCTTCCCTAAAGAACTAGTGCTTTTGCCTTTATCTCTTAAACTGTTCTGCTCTGCATATGAATTTTCTCCATTTTCTTGATTATGGAGACTTGACTTTACTGAATTTCAGTCACTTGCTTGGCTACTTCTTCCACTTTGTGCTTGAGTTTTTTCTTAAAAGCATCTTTTTTTTATGCCTTTTCATGTTTCATTGATTCCCCAACTTTATATTTTAAGGCTTTATCAGTTCTCAAAATACATTAAAGCCAGGATGAATTGCAGTTTCTTGCTCCTTTAGCAGCAGATCTCATTATTCTTAAAGTAGAATCTAATTCCCCACCACCTGCAGCAGGTTTTTAAATGAGATGCAAATGGCACAGAACCCCAAAGGCCTGACTATGTTTAGCTCTCCTGGAGCTGCCTCTGTGTCCACGTGGATCTGGGCAGGTAATTCTGGCAGTCCATGTGGGAATGCTCTGGGCAGTTCCCCCAGGTTCCTGTTCCCTCCTGGCTGCAGTGCAGGAGTGATCCTGGGATGCTCTGTGGGCAGAGATCTGGGTTTGTGATCTGTGCTGAACATACCCAGAGAGAAATATTAACGTTGGTGTCGGAAGCTTAGAAAGACCTGAAGGATTATGGAGGACTAAGTAGGATGCTGACTACAAATAGGTCCAAGGAAACTTGTTCCACACCCTGACTTGTGCCATGTCTTTGTGGGCTGGAAGTTGTGAGTGCTGCCAGCAGCTTGGAAGGGAAATAATCTCATTTCTCTAATGGATTAAGCTGGTGAGCACTCACCAACAGTGCCTGTTCCCAGCCAAGTTGGTGACAGTTGGGCTTTGTCTTAGCAGGGTTAGTGTTTAATACCAATTTTTTAGGACTTTAACCATGTTGGTGATCATATCACAAGTGTTTAAAAATGACTTCCATTCCTAAAATCCCACCAAGGTGCCATCTCTCTAATTGCTTTTATGTTGCAATCATCCATCTCTTGTTTAATTATGGTTCCTCGTGCCCATTATTAAACCCCAGGCTGGCTGTGTTTTAGCAGGTGTTAGGGGTTGATAAATATAATCCTGTGAAGCAGAAGCTCTGCCTCATTTGTGTTGAGTGAATAAAAGTGGTCTGAGAAACTTGTTTCTCAATGTCCTGTGTGATCTTAAATTTTTGAGCCTGTTTTTCCTTTTTTAGGATCTGAGTAGCCCTAACCAGTATGATACTGGAGTTGCACTGACTGGCTTGTCCTGTTTTGTTACTCCAGATCTTGCCAGGGACTTGGCAAATGACATCATGACTCTGGTGAGTGGATAAGATTGAAATGACTTTTCCCTGTAATAAAAGAATATGAAATTGTTCCAATTTGGTAAATATCTGTTAAATTTAGAACTGATACATGTGAAAACTGTTGCTTTTCTTGTGGGGATTTTGGGGAGCGTTTACAGACTTAGTTCAAGAGGATCAACTTGAAATATCTGTTAGTTTTGGTGCTGAACAACAATATTTGGCTCTGAGTTTTCAAAGAGCAGTCGAGCATCCCAGCAAGAACTTTGGAGTCACAGGGTGATGTGAGCATAAGGACCTGCAAGAGCTCTGGAAGCACAGAGTTTCTCAGAGCCTGACCGCGGTGTTTCCTTGCCAGATGTCTCACACCAAGCCTTACATCAGGAAGAAGGCAGTGCTGATCATGTACAAAGTGTTTCTCAAGTACCCCGAGTCCCTCCGTCCTGCGTTTCCTCGCCTTAAAGAGAAACTCGAAGATCCGGATCCCGGTGAGTGGGTTTGAGGGAATTCCTTCTGCTCCCACACGTGTGCTTGTGGAGCCTGTGAGAGGAGGATGTGTGAGAAATGCAGTGATCAGCTTTGGGGCACTGCTTCACCTGACTGGGGGTAGATGAGCCCAGCAGAGTTCTGACAGATGTTGCCATATTAAAAATACATCCTTTCAAATGCCCAGTTCTTCAAACCCAGAGCTACTCAAACTGTATCAGTGGATTAAACCTTAATGGGACAAAGCAGCTTAATGGTTCCTGTTTTGTTGCTTACTAAACTTGACTTTAAAATACTTCAGTTGATCTCCGGGTTTAGGATTTTGTTGTTGTTTCCTGTGCTCTTCTACAAAGCTACAGCTACTGGACATACTTAAAATAATGGACATACTTAAAATAATTTTACATCAGTTAGTGCATTTTTAAAATTATTTTTAGTTTAAACTTTGAGTTCACACTGCTGTTTGGGCCCCTCAGAAATGTCTTTGCAGTCCAGCAGCAGCACAGGAAATTTGCAGTTGCCCTGTATCATATTCACAGTTTTACTCAGTCTTTGGGAGGTGCTGGTGTTCCCTCAGTGCACCAAAACACATGTTCCAGGAACTCTGTGTGTGATGCAGCTCTGGGATCCCCACTTGTTTTAGGAATTCCATGTGTGATGTATTTCTGGGATCTCCACTTGATTTGTGTTTGCATTTAGAGGGAGAAATTTAATTGCATGTATTGGACTAATTTATTGTGGGCATGGAAAATGCACCTTCCAGGGACAGTGTTTTTAAAGAAAGCAAAACACACCCATCCCTCACCTGCAAACAGAGATAAAAAGTCCCTGATAGACTTTATTGGAGAGAAGTTCTGCTCTCTGCTGGGCCACCCAGCCTGTCCAGACTAAACCAGGCCATTTAAAGGATGAGCAATGAGAAGGGAGTGAACTTGTCCAGTCAGATTGTTGTTTAAGGAATCATTATTTTTGTGTTGTATTTAAACATGTCTAAATAATACATTTTAAAGAAGCAGCAGTGTTTGGAAGCTTTCTGGAGGGTGATTATTGATGGTGCTGTTTGTGTCCCACAACCAGCTATCCACAGCCAAGGGGAGGGATGTGGCAGTGTCCTGCTTTTCCTCACACTGGACCCAAAGCAGACACCCAGCTTACTGATACACTAGAAAATAGCCAGAATTAAATAAAATCCTCTCCCAGTTTGCTTGTGCATTCTTGTCTTTACTTCAGTGCCTCAACTGGGAATGAGGCCAAAGCATCAGACACACAGGTCTGAACCTTCAGCTGCTCCTGCTCTGGGGGTTCTGCACCACAGATTTCCATTACAGTTGAGGCCCTGCTGAGATTCCTGCTTTTCCCTGTTTTCCCAGGTGTGCAGTCTGCTGCAGTAAATGTGATTTGTGAGCTGGCTCGACGCAATCCCAAAAACTACCTGTCCCTCGCTCCACTCTTTTTCAAGTTGATGACTTCATCAACCAATAATTGGGTTCTCATTAAGATTATAAAACTGGCAAGTATTCTGCTTTTTCTTTTTAGGATTGGGGTTCTCATTAAATCACCTTGGGTGTAAAAATGGCTTTCTTGGTGGGAGGTGTGGTTACCAGCAACTCTGAATAAAAAGAAACCAGGAATATTTTCTGATGTTTGTGAATGTAACCAAAGGGAAAAACTATGTTAGTAGAGCTTGGTTTAAATACAGTGAGCTGCAATTGCATCCAGCAATTTACATAACATTTGGATGCTGTTTAAAAGCAGTTATTAAATCCCTTTCTTGTCTGCACTTCTCTTTGAATAGTTTGGTGCTCTTACTCCATTAGAACCAAGGCTGGGCAAGAAGCTGATCGAGCCCCTGACCAACCTCATCCACAGGTTTGTGGGACAGATCCTGCTTTGTTCATTAGGACTGGGAAAGTGCCTGGTGGGTGGGTCAGCACCTGGGCTGGGGGTGCATTTCTCAACTTTTTCTGGATTTCAATATCCAAAACTCATCTCACATCAGGACTGAAAAACCTGAGTGAGGGGAAAGACCTCAAAGGAAAGTCTGGGTGTCTGACTGTCAGCATGAATTCCCCCAAAGCATGTGTGAAAACTGGAGCAATGTGCTTTCCTTTCACTGCATTTTAACCCAGAGATGACTATGGAGGATGTATAAAAACTCTGGCTTAAAAGAGGCTCAGCTGTTTATTTGCCTCTCCTGTTCACCTCACACATTTGGTTCCTGACCTTTTTGGACGTGCCTTACCCACCAAAGCAGCCTGACAAGGAATATGTTAAAGTCCTTTCTGAAGCCTTTGGCAGCTCAGATGTGTTTTGGAAGAGTTCTTACAATATAAGTCCTAAATATAGATTAAATAAAATTTAAGATATTTCCTTGCCTTGTCCCTCGTTAGAGCGGGTTTGGGGTGTTGTTCTGGACTGAAATCAGGGAGTGAATGCCTTGGAGGGAATACATGTATTCTCCCAGTTATGAAAGGAAGTGTCATCTCATACCTGAGTTGTTGAATGAAAAGCTTTGTTTCTCTTCACATGACAGAGCAAAAGGATGGATGGGAATGAGCAGGTTTTGAACAGATATCTGTGTAGCTGTGAGAGCAGCTCTATCCAGGCAATTCCTGTCCATCCTCCTTGGATTCCTGGCATCCAAACACCTACAGAGGAGTTTGGCAGCTGTCAAAAATAGATTAAATTCCTCAGAAAAACTAGGAAAATGGACAGTGTCTTCAGTCCTGTCTCTGCTCCCTCTCCCGAGCTCCCCAGTTAGACATTCATTTTTTAGCTGGGAGGACTGAGTCCTGTTTGGTTTGGTCTCCATTCAGTCATTTTGGATCTCACAGCACTTCCTGAGTCAAAGCAGCACCCTGCCATGTCCCACCCAGTGCCCAGGGAGCAGAGGGGACTGTCACCTGTGTGCCAGGTGACCTTCAGGGCATTGCTGTCCTGCCTCCAGAGCTGTTTGCCCGTTCCCTTTGCCCACCTTGCTCCTGGGTTCTGCCCCCTCGGTGCTCGGGGGGCTCCCTGTTCCCCTCAGGGTTTGTAAGGACCTTTGCAATGCTCAGAACTGCACTGGCTGTGTGTGCCACTGGCAAAAGTCATCTTGCATTTGAGTTTTGGGGAAATCAGACTTTGGGAATGGGTTGCTGACTTGCAGGGGTGGGCAGTGTGTGCCTGCACAGCCAGGGCTCTGCTGCTGGGACATGACTCACTCCTTGGAGAGAGACTTGAGCTTCTCCAGCTGCCTTATCATGGAGTTTTGACCTGGGGCAGAGGATTTAATTGGATTTTTGGACAAGATTGCTTCAGTGCTCTGTAGCTGGTGCTGAAGTTTGAGTAATGCTTCCTTCCTCATTTCTTGACACAGCTCTTACTTGCTTCTCCAGGAAGAATTTTGGTTTTTTAAGCATTCAGTTTAAAAATTCCTCCCCCAGCAGTTTTTAAGTGGGAATCATTTCATCTATTTGAAGGGATATGGAACAGGATACTGGCAATTTCTTGTGAAGTTCAAGGTGTTAACTTGCTCTAAGATACTGCTGACAACTCTTCCAAATGTGCCAGTTTATTCCTTATTTAATATTCTTGATTTCTGTTTCAGCACCTCAGCCATGTCTCTCCTGTATGAATGTGTGAACACAGTAATAGCAGGTGAGAACTGAAACTCATAGCCTCAAAAAAACCTGTGATGAACTTTGTCATCAATTAACACCCTCTGTAAACCTTATTCTGTTTAACTTCATGTATTTTATAACTGGAATAAGTGTCCTGGCAAACTTTGTGTCCCTGTGGGGCTGAAATCCTTTGTCGGTGAGGCACAGTCACTGCAGTGGAGTCGTGTTTGCTGAAGGCTGGAACCAAGCACAGACAACGAGATTATTTGTGTGCAAGCTCCTAAATGTTGCTACAACTACAAAATATACCAGCAGCAACAGAAGTAAAATGAGGCTGGTGTGTCTGTTGGAGTTTTCTTGCATGATGATGGATCAGAGTTGTTTTTTGTTTTTTTTTTAATTTTGCAGCTTCACAGTTTAAAAACTTGGTGTCTTAGAGGAGGTTTTACAGATTTACAGTTTTGGTTTCTAGGGAAGGGATGTGAGCTCCGTAACTGGGATGGAGGGAGAACCAGAGGCAAGAAGGATAACCCAATATTCCAGCTCAGACTTGGCACTTCTCCTGTCAGAGTGGGGAGTAGAGGGTTCCTGACACCCCCAGTTTGGCCACAGCCTGTCTGCTGGGGGTGCTTTGGAAAATGATGCTGGCTCAGCTCAGAGAGGGCAGGGTGAGCTGTCCCCACTGTGCATCCCTTCATTCCTTCAGGGAAATGGGATGATGGCAGGGGCAATAACACAGAGGGTAATTCCATTGTGGATGAGAATGGGACTGCAGTGAGACACAGGGGGTGATCCTGGGAGAATTCACCACCCAGGACACCTCAGGGACTTGGAGGTCAGGATCACAATCAGCAAATAAACTGGGAAGCACCAGAGCAGCACCTGCCAGCTCTGGAAATGCCAGTGTCCCTGCAGCCCCCCCATGTCCCTGCAGCCTCCCTGTCCCTGCAGGGTCAGTGTCCCTGCAGCCCCCCCGTCCCTGCAGCCCCCCCGTCCCTGCAGGGTCAGTGTCCCTGCAGCCCCCCCGTCCCTGCAGGGTCAGTGTCCCTGCAGCCCCCCCGTCCCTGCAGGGTCAGTGTCGCTGCAGCCCCCCCGTCCCTGCAGGGTCAGTGTCGCTGCAGCCCCCCCGTCCCTGCAGGGTCAGTGTCGCTGCAGCCCCCCCGTCCCTGCAGGGTCAGTGTCGCTGCAGCCCCCCCCCCCGTCCGCAGGGTCAGTGTCCCTGCAGCCTCCCCGTCCCTGCAGGTCGCAGTGTCCCTGCAGCCTCCCTGCAGTCCCTGCAGGTCCCTGCAGGGTCAGTGTCCCTGCAGCCCCCCCGTCCCTGCAGGGTCAGTGTCCCTGCAGCCTCCCTGTCCCTGCAGTGCAGCCCTGGGGGATCCCAGCGAGCAAACTGACGTGCTCAGCAGAGTTGGGGTTGGCTTGGCCACACTGTGACAGCAGCAGTTAACAGGGTAACCCCACCTTTTCTGCTGTGGGGCTGCCAGGGCTTTAAAATGTCCCACATAGTCATCAGTGGGACCTGATTGTGCCATGAGTCTCTCAGTGGCTTAATTAAAGCTCCACTCCAGTCCCATTGAACTCCAGGATCCATTGCTGCATCTCATTGCATTGGGAAAATCCACACTTAAAAACTCAGCTGTGCAGTAGCTGCTGACATATTTACAGGGTTTTTTGATGCTTTTTTTTCCCTGCCCTATTATTATTATTGTTAAAGTATATGAAACTATAAGTTGTATCACAACCTTCTCTCCTTCCCCCAGACCCCCAAAGGTCCAAGCAAACAGACAAGCAACAAAATAAGCTGTATAAATATTATACATAAATATACATCTAAATATTACACAAAGATAAAATAAATTTGCCTGTGAGCTGAGCTGGGTGTGGCCCCTCAGGTGTTGTGTTGTTGCAGCCCCTGGAGCCCAGCTGTGCTGACTGGGGTTTGTGTTCTGTGTTTCAGTGCTGATCTCTCTGTCCTCGGGGATGCCCAACCACAGTGCCAGCATCCAGGTACCACCCTGGGCTTGGGGGGTTCTTCTGTCTGCCCTGTGAGCCCAAGTGCCCCGGGGAAAGGGGGGGGTGTTAAAGCAGGAGCAATCCTGCACACTGAAGCATTTCCTGTATAAATTCTCTTATTTATTTGGCTCTAAAATGCAGATTCTCCTCACGTAGAGTTGTCCCAACTCTTTATTCAGCTCCTGCTGTCAGGTTCCTTCTGATTGGAAATGTGTTAATGCAACAAAACCCTCGAACCTAGAGCCCCTTGGTACTCAGTGCACTTCTTTGTGTAATGAGTAAACTTTGGGAAGAGTTATTGTAATCAATAATGTAATAAACATGACTTGGTCTTTTTTTTCCAGCTGTGTGTTCAGAAGTTGAGGATATTGATAGAAGACTCTGACCAGAACTGTAAGTATGGTGCTTGTCTTCATGAAGCTCGTGGCCCCCAAGCCCTGGGGCTGTCTCTGCAAACACCTCACTCGGGGTTGTAGGGCCTGTGTTCCAAACAGTTGCTGGGGGGTTTCATGTGGAAATAATTTCTGCTGGTGAGCACTTCATTTTTTAAAACAAACGAGAGCAATAATTACTGCTCTTTGTGGTCTTGTAAATCTAAACTAATTCTTTCCACGCCCTGGGATTATCCTTTTTATAGACTTGCTGCTTGGAAAGCAGTGAGGGGTACTCAGCAGTGGGAGCATAATAGTGAAATGGGAGTGTTGACTTACGTTAGTGACCACAAAGAATACTGGGAGATTTTTCCTTTGTGCAGCTCTTTTTGCTGCCATCTGATTTTTTTTCTCATTGAGGACAGGACTGTTACACACCAATCTTCAGTGCTTTAAAGCTGTATTCACCCCAGGATGCCTGTTCTCAAAACCCATAGTTCCTATATATAAAATACATGTTTTAATATCAGTGATAAAACTTGAGGTGTATGAGAAGCCCGTGATGAAGATTGTATCTATAATTACATGTCTGTATATGGAATTATGAAATTAAAGGCTATAATCTGTGATGCACAATTCTCAAAAATGCTTTTCTTCATCATGGATTTTTATTCAAGTGTCTGAATACCAAGTGCTTCTACTGAAACCAGCTCTAAGATTTCATGCTCAGCACAAACCAGTGTTTCTATATTTGGAAAGAAGTTTTATTTGGTCTTTCACAGTGAAGTACCTGGGACTGTTGGCAATGTCCAAAATCCTGAAAACACACCCCAAGTCGGTTCAGTCCCACAAGGATCTCATTCTGCAGTGTTTGGATGACAAAGATGAGTCCATCAGGCTCAGAGCTTTAGATCTCCTCTATGGCATGGTATGTTCCTACATTGATTTCCTCTCTAGCCCCCGGGTCCCTCTAGGAAAGGGATATTTAAGAAAAACATGCAGCTTTCTCTGCCCTCTGCCCCCCTTGACTTGTGATAACAACTCCCTTGTCTTTTCTGGCACTTATGACAAGTAAAACACCTGGCACAGCATGAGAGGGCTTTAAAAACTTTGGTTCAGACTGGAAGGAGTTTCTCACTTTGGAAATCACCCATTTTGAAATGCTAGAATTCCACTGGATGTCAGTGACTCCTAAATTTGTTTCCTTTAGAAGCAAAAGCGTTTTAAACTCTTAAATTTGCTCATCTTGCAGTAGAAGATGAATTTCCTGCTGGGTTTCTGTGTTGCTGTGAGTAATTCTGATCCTCAGCTCTCCCACAGCACAGCCTTGGGCACTTGGGCTGGCTCTGCTTTAATAACAACATTACGTATAATGATTGTTATAATTACTTTAATAACAATATTACATAAAGACACAAACAGGTTCCTTTTTGGATTGTGACCAAAGCTTGGACCTAGAGAGGTGGTTCTGATGTCTTGTTGACAGATGACATGGGCCCAGCCAAGAGCCAACAGCTGCTTTGCTGGAGTTAGAGGGACTCGGCAGCGTGGCAAAGGGCTCAGCTGTGGTTCACCCTTCAACTCTTTCCCAGGTATCGAAGAAGAACTTGATGGAGATCGTGAAGAAGCTGATGATCCATGTGGACAAAGCCGAAGGGACGACGTACCGGGATGAGCTGCTGACCAAGATCATCGACATCTGCAGCCAGTCCAACTACCAGTACATCACCAACTTCGAATGGTCAGTGCTCCCCCCGCCGCTGGGGCTCCTCACGCGGGTGACGTGGGACTGTCCCCGATCCCACTGTGCCCTGCCCGCAGGTACATCAGCATCCTGGTGGAGCTGACCCGCCTGGAGGGCACGAGGCACGGGCACCTCATCGCGGCGCAGATGCTGGACGTGGCCATCAGGGTGAAGGCCATCCGGAAGTTCGCGGTGTCCCAGATGGCCATGCTGCTGGACAACGCCCACCTGCTGGCCAGCAACACCCAGCGCAACGGCATCTGCGAGGTGCTCTACGCGGCCGCCTGGATCTGCGGCGAGTTCTCCGAGTGAGTGCTGGGGTTCTGGGCACGGAAACGTGGTTTGGAGAGCAGGATGGGTCAGGCTTTGCGCCTCAATGCTATCAAAATGATGCTGCTTTCCTGCTCCCTCACCCCATGGATTCCTTGGCTCTTTCTAGCCCAGGCATTTGGAGTATCTGGTTGTTTTTCTTCTCCGTAGTCCTGCCCATGCAGGAAGCCATTGGAGTGAATCACAAAATATCCCAAGTTGGAAGGGTCTCAGGGATCATTGAGTCCAACTCCTGCCCTGCCCAGACACCCCAACAATCCCCCCCTGTCCCTCAGAGCGTTGTCCAAAGGCTCCTGGAGCTCTGGCAGCCTTGGGGCCGTGCCCACTGCCCTGGGGAGCCTGGGCAGTGCCCCAGCACCCTGTGGGGGAAGAACCTTTCCCTGAGATCCATCCCAACCCCCCTGGCACAGCTCCAGCCCTTCCCTGGGTCCTGTCCCTGGTCCCAGAGCAGAGCTCAGTCCCTGCCCCTCCGCCTCCCCTCGGCAGGAGCTGCAGCCCCCGAGGAGTCTCCCCTCAGTCTCCTCTGCTCCAGCTGAACCAGCCGAGTGCCCTCAGCTGCTCCTCAGACCCGTCCCCATCTTCTTAACCCTCCCTGGACACTCTCTAATAGTTTTATAGTGTCGTGGGTAGAAGCTGCTAGATCTTAAGAAGACATTGAAAGAATTCCTTAATCATTTGTATCTTAGGGCACATGTTCAATCACCATGTTTGAATTAGTTCTTCCTCTGTTCCCTGTTTTGCCTTTGTTGAAAGAGTTTTGCAGAACCCAGTCTTCCTGGGAATTAGAAATCGTCTTCCTTTTTGCTCAGAGTTTCTCAGTACCCACAGTAGCACAGTTTCCAATATTCTTGTACCAACATTGTCTTTTAGCTTTAGTAGATGCTTTTGTGTCTCGGTTGTGTGTGCAGATACTCCTGCTTACCCAGCTTTCAGTTTGGTAAATTGAACTAACTGTATACTATAGTCTCCTGGTTTGGTGTTTCTTCTTTTAATTGTCATTCTGAACAGTGGCTCCAGTTTAAATTCACACAGTAGATGTGATATTTAAGGAACACTGGTCCAGATCAGACCTTTAATTAAAAAAGTTGTGGAAAGAAAACTGTTGATTAACAAGTAAGAGAACATACTCTCCTTTTTCAGTTTGATCACATTTTTGTTTTGAAAGAATTTTATCTTCCAGTCTGTAGTAGTCCAGTAACTTTTTGTGCATGTTCCATTTAGCTGTGAGGAGACAATTCTGAGTAGGAGCATGAGATTTGTTGAAACAAGTTCTGTGATCTGTTCTCCTGTCTGAGCAATACGTGACCTTCACGAGCTGAGCGCTGCCTGCTGGGGTTTATTTCTGGGGCACTCTCTGCTTACAGACACCTCGAGGAAGCCAACCAGACCTTGGAAGCAATGCTGAGGCCCAAAGTGACAACTCTGCCCGGCCACATCCAGGCAGTGTATGTGCAGAACATGGTGAAGCTCTATGCATCCATCCTGCAGCAGAAGGAGCAGGCTGGGGACAAGGAAGCAGCTCAGGAAATCACCCAGCTGATGATTGAGCGCCTGCCTCAGTTTGTGCAGAGTGCAGACCTGGAGGTGCAGGAGAGGGTGAGACAACAAAATTGCTTTGGGATTTATCATGGAAAGGCTCTCATTTGTCTTGGAGCATGTTGTGGTTTTCTGTGGCCGTGCTCATTTGCTATAAACTGTTATCAAGGACAAAGCCCAGATCTCATTGCAGTTTGATGCCATCTCTGGAGGCTGCAAGGACTTCACTCAGAACAATATAATTTTAAAATTATTCAGGCACATAAGGACACAAAAAGGACCCAGCTAGAAGGGAGGGTTCATGTGGAATTTTTACCTTTGCTCCAAGCCTACAGTTTATGCTGCTTCTCTTAATTCCCTTCATGGAGTAGAACACTTACCTTCTGCTGACTTCCACTGCAGTTGATTTGTTTGGTTCAGATGATTAATATTACTCCTGAAATTACTTCTGCATTTGTTTTTAGGCTTCTTGCATCTTGCAGCTGATAAAATACATTCAGAAGCTACAAGCAAAAGAAGTTCCTGTAGCTGAGGAGGTGATAGCCCTGTTTGCTGGTGAGCTGAACCCTGTGGCTCCTAAAGCACAGAAGAAAGTACCTGTTCCAGAGGGGTGAGGTTCCTTCTCTCTCCTAAAGCCTTATTTAAGCTTTTAAACTCTTAAATGATAAAGCAAAGTGTGTGATGAGACACTGAAATGCTCAGGGGTACTGAGTCAAGCTATTTGTTCACTGCAATTCTCCCCAGCCTGGACCTCGATGCCTGGATCAATGAACCTCCCTCAGACAGTGAGTCTGAGGATGAAAAGCCCAAAACAATCTTTCATGAAGAGGAACAAAGGCATTCCAGACACAGACAGCCAGAGATAGACGAAGAGGAACTGGCCAGAGTGAGTGAATGTTAAAATGCTTTTCCTTCCATAGTTCAGTAGTAAAGTAAGTGCTGCTGAAGCAGCTGGAGCTGTTGGGGAGTCTCCAGGTGGCCAGGGAGCTGTTGTGCTCTGTGCAGCTCAGGGAAGCTGATGGTTTGATCTGAACTGATGCTTGTGGACCTCAGCATCTTCTGTGAGTTACTGTGACATGTCTGTTCTCAGCAGGGATCCCACCTTTCCTGCCTCTGACCTTTCTGGTGTCACAGAGAGAACTTGTTGATGAGAATCTTCACTTCTTACTGTCTTTATGGATAGGAAAGCAAACATTTGAATTGCCATCAAAATGTGGCCTTTGGGAAGTTACCACCTCTAGCCTATATCTAAAAAGCAAAGAAGGGTGTTCTAAGGAATATTAATTATAGAATCATAGAATCATGGAATGGTTTGGGTTGGAAGGGACCTTAAATATCATTTAGTTCCACCCTCTGCCACAGGCAGGGACACCTTCCACTATCCCACTTTGCTCAAATCCCTGTCTGTCCTGGCCATGGACACTTCCAGGGTTGGGAATTAGTAATGGTACCTGTAGTTCTATCCCGGTATGTCTTGTAACTCAGAACTGCTTTATCATACACAAGCTGCTCTGCTCTTTTCACAAGTGATTATGTATATTGTTCCAGAAATTCAGGGAGATTATGTCTTGCACTTTGCTGCCTTTTCTCTCTTTGCTTACAAACAAACATTTTAACTGCAAATCCTCTCTCGTTTTTAGCGTCGGGAAGCCCGGAAACAAGAACAGGCAAACAACCCATTTTATATTAAAAGCTCTCCTTCCCCCCAGAAGGTGAGTCTGAATTGCAGTATCTCCCTGGCCTCTCATGTCACTGTGTGAAGGCTCCCTGAACATCAGAGCTGCAGCTTCCTCCGGGCCACTGCCCCCTTTATGGTGTGTGCACTGCAGTGGCTGCCTACAACTAGTTTTACAGGTCCTGTTTGTGTGGAGAATCTCAGGAGTGACCTGATATCCCGAGAGCAGCCAGTGCTCTGCAAGTGTCTGTGCAGTTTGTCCCTCTGGGTGATCCAGAGTTCACATCACCAGGCACCTCACCCAGAGGTGAACCTTGAACATGCTCCACGTCTTCTGTGCATCAGAAAGTTGTTATGGTCTCTTAACACCTTTTCCAGGGAAGGAACCTGCTCCATTCCCTGGATGTTCAAGGACTGCCCCCTTTGCCCCAACTCAAATCTCCCAGTTGATCCTCTGAAGTGGCAGGTTATTAGTGATAAAGCACAAACCAAGAATTCTTCAGGGAGTTGCAGGAAACCTTCAAGGCAGCAGTGGGGTTAAAAAACTGTAGCAAGAGAAGGGTCTTTTGTAATAATTATCAGCTGGCTTTAAAACACACTCTGCTGCCACACAGGATTAGTAACAAGCTGTTCCATCCCTATCCTTTAAAATGTTCACTTAAGGGATTGAACTGCTTGATGTTTTGTAGTGTCTGTTTGCAGAGATTTGTACTTGCAGTGCTCAGAATGTAACAAGTCTCTGTTTTCCCAGCGATACCAAGACACTCCAGGGGTGGAGCATATTCCCGTGGTGCAGATCGACCTTTCTGTCCCATTAAAAGTTCCAGGTAAGCACAGCTAATCTGGAAAATTAATTACAGAAATTTCAGTTAAGCAAAAGTCATAATTCCTTCTTAGGAGTTCCTCCTGAGGTTCTGAAGTGTAAGGAGCACACTTTGATTAGACTCTTAAATATATCTCCTTAATTTACATTTGAAAATAGTACTTTGCAGTCAAGTTCTTGAGATAATATTAGAAATAGTTGTGATAAAGGATATTGTGCAGCCAAGGCTGTAATGTGTAAATGTGGGGGAACAGTCACTTTAACAGTGTCTTAGAAGTGGTCATGTAAATGGTGGAGGTGATCAGAGACTTTAAGTGGAGTCTGATGGTAGAGACACTGTTTTAATATCTATATTCAAATATCAAAAGGCATCTGTGTATCTGAGTGGTTTTCAGCTGAAAAGCTGCTGATAAAGTGCAGTCCATTGCAAGGGATGAGTTCTAAGTGCATATATTTAATATCAGTATTAAATATCAAATATCTTTCCAGAAGTGTGGGAAGATGTCAGTATTAGTACAGCAGTGGCACCAATTCTGCCCAAAGAATCAATGTTTAGGTGTTCTTTGTAATGCAGTTAATGTGGACAAGACCCAGGGAGCAGAACTGAGCTCTGCCCTGGTTTGGAGAGATGCAGTGTGAGAGGGCAGCTGGGTGAGGGGATGTGGGAGCACAGGGAGCGTGGATCCGCCGGCTCTGAGGGGCTGGGAGCAGGGTCACTGCTGGGAGCAGGGTCACTGCTGGGAGGGGCTGGGAGCAGGGTCACTGCTGGGAGGGCTGGGAGCAGGGTCACTGCTGGGAGCAGGGTCACTGCTGGGAGCAGGGTCACTGCTGGGAGGGGCTGGGAGCAGGGTCACTGCTGGGAGGGGCTGGGAGCAGGGTCACTGCTGGGAGGGGCTGGGAGCAGGGTCACTGGGTCACTGCAGGGGCTGCTGGAGCAGGGTCACTGCTGGGAGGGGCTGGGAGCAGGGTCACTGCTGGGAGGGGCTGGGAGCAGGGTCACTGCTGGGAGGGGCTGGGAGCAGGGTCACTGCTGGGAGGGGCTGGGCTGGGAGCAGGGTCACTGCTGGGAGGGGCTGGGAGCAGGGTCACTGCTGGGAGGGGCTGGGAGCAGGGTCACTGCTGGGAGGGGCTGGGAGCAGGGTCACTGCTGGGAGGGGCTGGGAGCAGGGTCACTGCTGGGAGGGGCTGGGAGCAGGTCACTGCTGGGAGGGGCTGGGAGCAGGGTCACTGCTGGGAGCAGGGTCACTGCTGGGAGCAGGGTCACTGCTGCCATCCTGCCCAGGGCTCAGTCCATGTGCACTGTGGCCTGAGAGCAGCTCGGCTGCCCCCCAGGAATGCCCATGTCTGACCAGTACGTGAAACTGGAAGAGGAGAGGAGACACAAACAGAAACTGGAGAAAGACAAGAAGAAGAAAAAGCAGAAGAAGGAGAAGAGAGGGAAACACCATCGGCACAACTCCCTGCACACGGAGAGCGAGGAGGACATCGCGCCCGCCCACCACGTGGACATCATCACCGAGGAGATGCCCGAGGTCAGGGCTGGGCTTGGGGCTGGGCTGTTTGTGTGCTGCTCTTGAGACAGTCTGCCCCCAGAATTGCCAGCCAGTCCACAGTTTTGCATTCCCAGACCTCTGATTCCTGGCAGAGCCGTTTCAGGAATGACTGAGGTGGTCCCAGGCTGCTCTTTTCAGAGGGAGGAATGATTTTTGTGAATTTTTGTGCACAAGAAAGACAAAAAATATCCCCTGAAGCTATTAAAAAAGTCAAAACCAACCAACAAAACAATGTGCATCCCTGCTCTAAGAGTAGTGCTGTCCAAACAGCATCAATTATGCTCTGCTGCTTCACTTTGACAGTAACTTGCTGTCTAGTCAGCAGCTTTGCAGCTGATGGTAATTAATTGCACATGCTAATGATGTCATCTGTGTTTGTTCCTAAAATTTCCTTTAATCAGAACCAAGCAGCAGCCATTCAAATGCTGCAGTTTATGAAGAAGGGTTTTCTGTTCTAAATTAATCTTGTAACTTGATGCTGCATTGAAGAGCATTGTTCCCCTAAGTGCCTGACTGCAGCTGGCCTGGGCCAGGGTTAACAGGCTCAAAAACATTTAATTTGGGTGATGTAGAGCTTTAGTTTGGGAATTGCTCCCTCAGTGATGGTCTCTATCTCTCCTGCAGAATGCTCTGCCCAGTGATGAAGATGACAAGGATCCCAACGATCCCTATAAAGCACTTGATATAGATCTGGATAAGTAAGTGACAGTTTGTGTGGGAATTAATGAGTTGCAATGAGAACACAGGAGGGCAGGGCTGGGCTGAGCAGGCACTGGGACTTCAGTCCAGAGGGGAAAAAGCTCAAGTCTCTCCCCATGGCTTGAGTGAAACCTCAGGTGATCAACCAGCCTGGGCCCCCACTGCAACATGGGTGATAAAAGCTCAGCTGCTGATCAGGGAGGGGCTGGGAGGGACAAGGGAGTCCTTTAGTGTGACTGAAAGGAGTCTGGAAGCACAGGCAGTGTCACTGGATCAGGTGTGAGTTCCTCTCAGCGTTTGGGTGTCCCACTGTGTCTCTGCTGTGCCCTGTGTTGGCCCTGAGTGTGCCCTGTGTCCGTGTGTCCCTCTCAGAAGCTCTGTGTCCATGGGAGCCCGTGTGCCCTGGGTTGTGGTCACTGCCCAGTAACACCGTGTCTGTCCCACCCCCTCTGCCCTGGGGCTGTTCAGTGTGGTCCCACTGTTGAACAGTGTTCTGCCATGACTGAGTGAACTGTCAGAACTGTGCCCAGTGTGGCCCCACTCAGCTGCTGGAGCTGTCCCAGTGCCAGCATCCCAAATCCCTGCATCCACATTAGCTCTGGGCTGTTCAGTGCTGCACATGGGGATTGGTTTTTTTCTTTAGTTGCTGTTTTACAAAACCATCATGCTAAAAATAATTGTTTTATGGTCCAGGGATGCCTCCTGTAAAGTTTGGAAGACTCTGCAGGCCCGTGGGGGTGTGTGTAGTATCTCTCTACCCCTTGGAAGTCTGTGCCCTTCTCTGCAGTTCCCCAGTTTGTGGAGCTTTGGCCCCTCACCACCTTGCAAAAAAGGGAAGGAACTGTTTCTGAAAAACTTCCTTTTTTCCTGAGCCCATCATTGCTCTGGGTCTGCAGGTGCCAGTGTATAAAAGCAACTCAGTTTTTGACTACAGAGCCTGTATTTGCATGAGGAGCCTCCCCAGTGCAGGGCACAGAGCAGGGGCTGGGTGCTGTGCTCAGGAGGCATCTCTGGACCGTTGCCCTGTTCCATCCATCCCTGCCCATGGCCCGTGGTGGCCCTGCTGTCCTGTCATGGTTCTCATCTCTGTCCTCTCTCTCTCTCTGCTTGCACTGCTCTGTCTGTCACGCTCACACGCAGTCTGGTTTCAGGGAAGCCTTCCAGGTAAGAACATCTTGTAAGTGTTGACCTTTGCCAGGTGGGTTGATTTTGGTGGACACTGTAAATCCTTGAAGGGTGGTGGAACTGCTGAAATCAGTGAGCCTCACGTTTGTGTGTGTTTTGTCCCTGGCTCTCAGCCTGGTCCCTGTTCCTGTAGAGGTGTGTGTGATGCAGCTGAAGGATGAGGCCTCTTGGCTGCTCACACAGGTGGGGCCCATCTTGCCCTTGGAAAGTGAAAAATGAATTGGGTCTGGTCCTTTGTGCAGTGTAGGCCAAAAATTTAAGGTATTTGAAGCCGTTAGAAATCCTCCTGAACTGGTGTTTGCTGTGCAAACATGAAAATTAACATTAAATAAAAGCTGAGAAATAGAAAAAGAGGCAAAGTGTGAAATTCTTGCTGATTTCTGGAAATGTTTGACAAGAACAAGAGAAATTTCTGTGGTGTTTCTTCCCAATTTGGGATACAGTGTAATGTGAACTACTATTTGTAGCATAACTGTACTACTGTACTATTTTGGAAACAGGTGTCTGAAGTTAAATATGACTTAACTTTTAAAATGTAATAGTAGGGTACAAATTCAGAGTGTAAACTTCCAAAATAAAAATCAGTTAGAATAACACCCAGTTGGAGGGATCTACTCATCAAGAACAACAAAGCCCACACCCTTCAAGGGCTGTTTGAGCTGTGCTGACATCCCACTGCTCGGATTTCCACCCTGGTGGAAATGCTCTTTCACATCTTTGCCCTTCCTCGGAGAGGGATTCCATGGAAATAGAGGGTAACACCCAATGTGTTCTTCTGCAGGTGTTACTCAGCCTGCAGGTCTGTAATTAGCACTTTTAAGAGTTAAACAGCAAGACCTTGGCTCTCAGTCCCCTTCAAATTGTTTTCTTCAACTTCTAATCCTCCAGGGCAGTGTCTGCAGTTGCATAAATAAACTTCAGGTGCAGAAATATGTGCTGATTTCAGATTTTTTTATGGGGCCCAGCTCTTTAAAACCGAAGCACACCTTGTCCTGGACCCCCAGCAGATAAGCTGGGCTGGGGGAGGATGTGTGCACCAGGGTGATGGGCTCTCTCTTTTCCAGACCCTTAGCAGACAGTGAGAAGCTGCCAGTGCAGAGACACAGAAATGTCGAGACCCTGAAGTCACCGGACTCAGAAGCTGCCCTGGTAGAGAAGAAGAGCAAGAAACCCAAAAAGAAGGAAAAGAAACACAAAGAAAAAGAGAGAGACAAAGGAAAGAAGAAAGAGAAGGAGAAAAAGGTGGTAGAGGAGGAGGAAGAAGAAGAAGAAAAAAAGGTAATTCTCCAAGACTTGCATTATTTTAGCAACTGCTGGTTTTTATTGCTGTGTTCAGTTTGTTGCTTAGGAACAGTCACATTTGACAGTTCAAACAGCTGAATGCCTTCAACCTTTATTTCCCTAAATTTTTACAGCCATAACAACAGGTATTTAAAGATTTCTGTTAATTAACATTTCCTCAGCCTTCTAAGCCAGCAAAATTCAGCTTCACTGCAACCTACACAGCAGAGCTGCCAGAGCTCAGCTGGAAGCTGAGTTTACTGGCATTTTGTGTGCTCTTCAAACGGGGAATTCCCTAGAAAAATACCTGGGACTCAGGTTTGTTCTGCATCCTGCCTCGCATTTACTGCAGGATCTCTCAGACTTGCAGCCTCCTCATTAGGCACCCTGCAGAGATGCACTTCTGTGTGCACCCAGTGTTCTTGGGATGCCTGGAGATGGGGTGAGGGTTCTGGGCAGTCACTGTCACCTGGGTTTGGAGGTGCTCAAAGGCTGAAGTGAAGCTTCTTGAGCTGTTTGCTCCTAAACATGTTGCAGCATCTGTGCATGAGGAGCTCTGGAGTGCTGCACTTCCATGAAGAATTAGGGTTTTAATTTAATTGTTGCAGAGTCATGGAATAAAACACTATTTGTGTTGAAAGGGACCTTAAAGCCCATCCAGTGCCACCCCCTGCCATGGGCAGGGACACCTTCCACTAGCCCAGGTTGCTCCAAGCTCCCTCCAACCTGGCCTTGGACACTTCCAGGGATGGGGCAGGCACAGCTGCTCTGGGAAACCTCTACCAGGGCCTCCCTACCCTCACAGCCAGGAATTCCTTCCCAATATCCCATCTCACCCTGCCCTCTGGCACTGGGAAGCCATTCCCCTTGTCCTGTCCCTCCATCCCTTGTCCCCAGTCCCTCTCCAGCTCTCCTGGAGCCCCTTTAGGCCCCTTCTGGAAGGGGCTCTCAGCTCTCCCTGGAGCCTTCTCTCCTCCAGGTGAGCACCCCCAGCTCTCTCAGCCTTTCCTCACAGCAGAGGGGCTCCAGCCCTGGGATCTTCTGGCTTGGTTTTCTTTGTTGTTTTTGGAGGGGGTTGTTTGTTTCTTTTAAGAATGGTGCCAAAACAGCCATAATGTTTTTTTCTCATGAAATTCAGGGGGAAGACTTGGATTTCTGGCTCTCCACTGCTCCAGCACCTGCTCCTGCACCCCAGGCACAGGTAACCCCTGTCCCACATCTTACCCCTCGCAGGAAGCTTCCCTTGTGCTGGTGTCTGAGCTGTGCTGTGTCATCCTGCAGCACAGAGGGGAAATCAGCTCCATCTCCTCAGCTCGTTGCTGGGGAGCAGTGAGACTGTGTGTCCCCAGTTCACAGACAGTGCAGTGGGAGGTTTCAGGCTCATTCTCCTGTGCAGATCAAGGGATAAAAATAGAAGTACAGATGCAGGTACAGGCTTGGTCAACTTTAATATTGCTGGTGGGGTTTAATATTGTATAGTGGTATGGTTTTATTTCCCAGTGTGAGCTAGACATGAGCAACATTAATAGACATGAGAGACACTGTGTGAAAGAGAAAATCTCATGAATTTTGATGTGAGATTGTAGAGGATGAAACAGGGAATTGAAGGGGATGGAAGAAACCTCTTGCATGGAGTCCTCAGGTGATCATATTTGCTGGGTTTCAGAGGCATAAATTGAAGTGCTTGGTCCCATGTGAGCCTAATGTCGTGTTTGAAATAACAGTTGGGGGTGAGTGTCACTGCTGGGACCTCTTTTGGTGTGAGATTGGGTTGTTTCAGCTGCACAGTGTCACAGTCCCTCTGCTCATCTCCTCAGAGCGAGCCTGCACTGGGAGCTGCTGTGGTGGCTGAACCTCAGGAGGTCAAAAAGGAAGAAAGGGAAGAGCGGGATGATGAGGAGGAGGAGGATGAAGGAAAGGTAAGTGGTTTAAGTTAAGAGGAAATGGCCTCAAATTGCACCGGGGAGGTTTAGATTAGATATTAGGAAACATTTCTTCATGGAAGGGGTTGTAAAGCACTGGCACAGGCTGCCAAGGGTGGAGTCACTGTCCCTGGAGTGTTCAAAAAACGTGGATGTGGCACTTGGGGACATGGGTTAGTGGTGACCGTGGTGGTGGTGCTGGTTGATGGTTGGGCTTGATGATCCTAAAGGTCTTTTCCAACTTCACTGCTTCTCTGATCCTATGAAGTTGCTGTCACCCTTTAGCCACATTCTCCTGCTGTCTGAAATTCCTTAAAAAGCAGCACACAGGAATTGCCAACTCCATCTCTTCAGTGTGATGATCACCTGCAAATGTTACATCCTTGAGCAGCCCTAAACCTTGAGAGGTTTGGTTGTTCCTTGAGCCAAGGAACGGGTCACAGTTAAAGCTGAGCTTCCAAGCAGTTGGAGAGATTTGGCCTTGTGCTGCTCCCAGGCTGCTTTGGGATAAGGTGTTATCATCCCAGTGGGGAGCAAGGGTTTTCTGGGACTCAGCCCTGGATTTAAGGAATGGGAGCTTTGTTTTGGGTTCTGCAGTGAAGGAAAACTTTGCTCAATCCAGACAGTGCAGAGTGAGAGTGGCCTTGGAAGTGTGGGACAAGGGTCAGGGGGTCGTGGCTAGAGATCAAGGGGGCTTTTAAGGGCTTTGTTGCAATTTCTTGTTCTTCTCAGCAGAAATCCTCCAAGCATAAGAAGAAAAAGCACAAGAAAGAGAAAGAGGAGAAATCCAAGGATAAAAAGAAATCCAAAAAGAAGAGTCACCACAGCGAGGAGGAGCCCCCGGAGTCGGTGCAGAACGGAACACTGGAGGATGAGCCACTACCAGTGAGTAGCTGTGCCCTGGCACAGGGCACCAGCAGGGCTGGACTGCTGGGGAGGAGGGAGAGGGAGCCCCTTTGCAGGGAAGTTATTTACACTGGGACACTGATTTTTCTCTCTTGTTTTTCAGCCCATGTCCAGTTACCGCCTTCTTGCTGAAAATCCATTCATTAAAATGGTGAGTTTTGTTCCAGATGTCTCCTCTTTGTGTTCCCTAAGAGCAGAGGGGGTACCCTGGGGATGGTGTGGTGACTTCAGGTGGGCATCATGTAGCTGAGGAACTGTTTAAATCCCAGGAGGCAGAACTATAACAATTTCCATCCCTTTGGGTGTCCCACTTTAGTTTTTAAATTGATATTTTCCCACCACATAGCTCAGCACCAGTGTGTGTTCATTACCCTCTAGCTGTGCAGATTCCCTCCTTTTGAGCCTTGTTTTATCCTGGTGCTGTGTTCTGCTCCTTGCAGTCTCTGAACCTTTCCTGTGACACTTTTCCCTTCATTTGCAGACCTATGACATCCAAGGAAACCTCCAGAACGACAGTCAAGTGACTGTGTCTGTCATCTTTGAGAACAAAAGCACTAGCTTCCTTAAGAGCATGGAACTAAATGTCCTGGACTCTCTCAACACTAAAATGCTCCGACCAGAAGGATCCTCAGTCCACGATGGGATTCCTGTGCCCTTCCAGCTCCCCCCTGGTAGGCTTTGCACGGGGTTCTTGGACTATGGCTGGCCCTGCACTGCCCTCCTGTGGGAAGAATGGTTTGAACTTCCTGCTGTTTGCCTAAAAAACCTTGTCTCTGCCTGGCTGGCTTTGCCACAGTTCCCTGGAGAGGATAAACCTTCTCAGAGCGTGGCTGTGACACAGGTGGCTCTGTGCAGCAAGAGCAAAGCCTTAATTTAGGGCTGGGAGTCCCAAGTGTCCCAGTTCTTTCTCCAGGTGCCTGCAGGCTGGCACCCCTTGGACCACAAAACCCCAACATTCGTGAGGAGTTTGCTATGAGATTTAAAATCAAACCAAGTTAGAGGTTTATGAACCATTAGAATCCACTCTGGATTTATTCTGGAGCTGTTTGTCCCGCTGTTTCAGTGGCAGAGGCCTCATGCAGTGAAGGTTTGTGTGAGGATGTGTAAGGAGGGGAGCTGAGCTCTTCAGGAGTGTTGAGACACAGAAATGAAGGACAGTGGCTTTACACAGAGCACAGCAGAACAGCTGAAGTGCTGAACTTCCTTGGATTTCACTTCCTTCAGCAGAGAGTTCATTTGAATACTGAAACAGCTCACAGAGAGCTCTGGTGGCCTCAGGGTGCATTTTGGTCCCCCATGAAAAGCAGTGGGGTATTTAATTTGGTTTTAATTCTATTCTTGACACAGACTTATATATTAAAAGGAAAATGTAGAAACATTAGAATTCAAATTAGCTCTGAAAGATTTCTAATTTCCAGTTATACAAATAGTTTAAATGTGTGCCACTGTGACATACTCTGCCCAGGCACTTGCTCAATAACCTCTACCAAATGCTGTTTCCGAGAGACCCAAGTGCTGTAACACTGGCTTACCACAGGAATTGTGTGTGGAACTCTCTTCCAACTACACAGAAAATTCCAAACTTGGTTCAAAAACAGTCAGCACATAAATGAGTTTATTCTAACCATGACTTAGATCCGGGAGCCATGTTCTGACCTGACTTCTCCCTCTCCTCTCTCCACGCCAGGAATCTCTAATGAAGCCCAGTTTGTGTTTACCCTTCAGAGTATTATTATGGCTCAGAAGTTAAAAGGAACACTGTCCTTTATAGTCAAAGTAAGTGCAGCTCTCAACTGCTTCTGCTTCCTTTGGATCTGTGTCAGGGAGCTGGACCTGGGTGGGAAGTTCTGCTCTGGAGCTTTCTTTAGGCATCATTTCATCTCTGCTGCACCCCCCTGTGCTGTGAGAGGAGCATCTTGTGCAAAGGGTGTCCTCGTGTCACTGCTGGCAGTGTGTGAGCAGAGCAGCCTGGGACAGGGGCCACACTGTCAGCTGGAGAATCCCTGCAGGGATCTGGGAAACATGGGACCAGGGGCTGTTCCTCCTCATCTCAGTTAGCCAGGCATCAGCTGGACACTGCTGCCTGCAACAAGGCTGGAGAGCAGTAATGAGGATTAATAGAGTTAATAAGGATGGAAACCAGAGCAAGAGTGAGGTTATCTGAAGGCATTGTTTGATGAGTATTGACTCGTCCAAGACTATGTGGGGCTTTGGTCTTATTTCAGTACAATTAATGAAGGAGCTGCATGAGCAGCTCAGAGGAAGTGAACAGAGACAGTTGTGGCTACTCCTGAGTCAGCCATTATCTCTATTTTAAGAGTTTCTTAAAAATAGCAGGCTAGTCCTATTTTCAGTATCTAAGAATCTGGGAGATACTAATTTGTGATTTTGCTCAGAAAATAATGAGCTGTAAAACCACATCCCTGAGTGTTAGTTTAAACTCAGTCTGCTCAGTTTATTCCAGCAGAGTGCAGGCAGAACCTGCAGCCAGTTGTGCCTTACCTGTACCAGCCCAGCTGCCCAAATCCATGAGTGGGCTGATGTTTTAGTGGGATGGTTGTTCCCAGACTGATCCTTCAGGCCCAGCTGGGGGATTTCAGAGGGAACTGAGCCCTGCAGTCCTCGTTGGTGCCTGGTAGGTGGGGGTGGTGCCTCCTCTTGCTGCCTCAGGGCTCCCATTCATCTCCTTTCCTCTGACCTGTTGCAGAATGATGAAGGTTCAACCCATGAAAAACTAGATTTCAAATTGCACTTCAGTTGTGCTTCATACTTGATCACCACGCCTTGCTATAGGTAAGTGCTGCCCCGGGGGGCTGAGCTGGGCTGCAGCTGAGCTGCTCCTGGCTCTGCCTGTCCTGGGGGCTTTGTCCCAGCTCAGTGTCCTGGGTGGTGTTTGATACCTTAGACTGTGTCCAGTGCCTTGTTCCCAGTGGCTGTGAGGAGGGAGCTCTGTGCCCTGTGTGGCAGGGGCAGCTCTGGTTGAGGTCAGGATGCTCCAGAGGAGTCTGGAGTGTGCTTCCCATATTTGCTGCAAACCCATTTTCCTAGAGCTTGGTGGTACTGAGACTTCTCCATCCTGCCATGTCTCCGTGGGACTAGTGGGGCGTGTTCCCCTTGCATTTCTGAAGTGTTTCCTTCCTCCCTGTTTTGCAGTGATGCTTTTGCCAAGCTCCTGGAGTCTGGAGATCTGCACATGAGTTCTATTAAAGTAGATGGAATTAGCATTTCTTTCCAGCATCTACTGGCAAAGATCTGTTTTCATCATCATTTTTCAGGTGAGTGTTCCTGGATGCAGAACCTTCTGCAAAGCTCCATATCCTAAAATCTCTGCTGTGCTTGGCAAGCACAACACTCCATGGCCTCAGCAACCACAGGAGCAGGTGATGGCCAGATTAAATAAACCTGGGAGATGAGTTTTTTCCAGTTTTTTAATACTCAAAGCAGGCAGTGTTCTTCAAAATGGACTCTCCTCTGTCCCTGGGGCTTTCCTGCAGCCCAGCGAGGCATGTGACAGGTATCACATGTGTGATCACAGGCTGTGAGTGCTCCCTGGAGGGTGGGTTTGATCTTCAGGGCTTCAGCTCGGTGAGGGAGAGCCCCAGCCATCCAGGTTTGGATTTATTAATTAAAACACAAGGGCGGGCTGAAGCAAAACAACAGGCTGTTTCATCGGGCTCTGGTGTTTGCACTAGACATTGCCTCACTGGAAGTATTTCTGGGGAAGAAATCTGCATTCTGAGCAGTGTTTGTGCCTTAGGAGACAAATGAGTCACCTCGTTATTGTGAAATGTCCCAGCCAGAAGCCAGGAGGAGCCAGGCACATCTTAACCCCGACTTCCTCCTCCCCTCTGCAGCAGCTCCTGTTCCTCAGGCCAGGCAGAGCAGTGGGAGGGAAGCAAGGCTTGTGTTAAAAGTTGTCCCACTGACTGGAATTCCCGTTCCTTTGCAGTTGTGGAACGTGTTGATTCCTGTGCATCCATGTACAGCCGTTCTATCCAGGGCCATCACGTCTGCCTACTGGTAAAAAAGGTGAGAGAAGCCAAATCTGCAGCTTTCCCTCTCTTCCCCTGCCTCTTCCCTGAGCTTGGGAACAAAATTATCCCAGCGTGGAAGAGGAGCTGATGGATTTCTTTCCTTTTTCTTTTTTCCTTTCCAAGGGAGAGAACTCAGTATCCATAGATGGGAAGTGTAACGATTCCACCCTGCTTAGCAACTTGTTGGACGAGATGAAAGAGACATTGTCCAAGTGCTGAATCTTCCCTCTCCCGTATTCCAAGGAAAGGAACACAGCCTTTGTGTAAAGCCGGGCAGACCCAAGTGTTAAGTTGCTCCCTCGTACGCATGTACTACCCTGAGGCACGTGCTTTCCATTCCCTCCACCTTCGGTTGCAGTTTAGACATTTTCAGGCTGTATGTTACCTTTTTATTTCACAACTTTTTACAAACCGTGGTGTTAACCCTTTCTAGCCCAAAGAGATCCTGGTGACACGACTGGAGGAGGGAGGGGAGGGAGGGAGGGAGGGCACTATTTATTCAGCAGCTCATGATGATCCCATGACCTTCCATCTGCGTGGGACGAGGGATGAGCAGGACTTTATCACCAGTGGCACAGTCTGTTGCTTGTGCTCATGCCAGGGAAGGTTGACTGAATCCTTAGCCATGGAATATTCAGGGCTGCTGTAGTTGATGTATATTTCTAGCAGAGGCTGGTGCTGGACCTGAAGGCCTCTTTTTTGTTTTGTTTTTTTTTTTATATATATATATATGATTTATTATTATTATTATCTCAAGATCTATTGTGATCAGCATATAAACATCCTCCATCTCCTTGAGCTAATCCAAAGGAGCCCTGTGAGAACTGGGATGTTTGAGTTTGTCTATAGTAGTTGCCTTGAGCCTTAACCTTCTTTTAGTGACAGCTGGAAGAGTCGAGAGCGGGAGCGTGAGATGGGCTGAGGTGTTGCTGTTTGGTCTCTGCTCCCGGGCCTGCCCCACACACAGAGTCTGTCAGGCCTGTCCCCTCTGAGCTGGCTCTGCTGATGTGTTTGATGAGTCCACTTCGATTTCACATTCCTGAACAGTGAAGCTGTAGCAAGAAACTGGAACTCCAAAGGGGTCTGTTCCTGTGCTTTTATCCTTCTGCTCCCCGGCCGAGGTTCACCATGGCCAGGTCAGAGAAACCCCTCGTGCTCAGCGTGCAGGTACAGCCCTGTCCTCCCTCTGGGCTCTGCAGCCAGCTGTCCCAGTGTCCCCCCAGTGTCCCCCCAGTGTCCCCCCAGTGTCCCCCCAGTGTCCCCCCAGTGTCCCCCGGCCCTGTCCTCCCACCAGTGGGAGCAGATTTGGCAGAGCCCTCCCTGCCCCGGGGCAGGAGAGAGGGATGGGTTGGGAGCCCCCCTTCCAGACAGGGTGCAGGAAGCAGGGGGGATGAGGAGCTGCTCTCCCTGCTGGGGTGCAGGAGGGGATGGAGGTGAGCGAGGATCCCCTGTCCCTGCCTTGGGGCAGGAGGGAAGGGGGTTGATTGGGATCCCCTCTCCCAGTGCAGGATGGGGTGAGGGTTGATTGAGATTCTCTCTCCCAGTGCAGGATGGGCTGGGGGTGAGGAGCTGCAGATTTGGGTCTGCAGAAGGTTGCCTTAGAGGGAAGAAGGAGGGTCTGAAGTAAAGCCCATTCTGCACCATTGAAATCTTGTGGAGTCACCACTGGAAGGGGATGTCCCTGTCCTGCAGGGATGCTCAGCTGATGTCCTTCTCCAACATCCCTTGCTTTCAATTTATTTTTTTATCCCCCCCGTTTTTTCCCTCGCTGTTCCACACCCAGCAAATGGAGAACTCCTGGAATGGTTTTGTTCAAGGCACAGCTCGGGAGGGGTTTGCTCTCCAGGAAGGTGCCCAGGGCAGAGCTGGGTGGGTCTGCACATCTCCAGCACCACCACCACTCCTAAAAACCCAAAACCCCCCGCAGGGAGCAGGATGAGGTGTTGATCTTATCCCTTGGGTGATGTCCTGTGCTTTACACACGTCTTGTGCTCTTCACACTCTTCCCCCAGGAGGGATTTTGGCCGAGGCTCTGCTCTGGTGCTCGGGGTTCATGGCCAGGCCCAGCTCTGGGTCTGACTGTGCTGCTGGGCCGTGGAGGGTTTGGTTTTGGTCAGCCTCCCTTGGTTAGCCAGTTGTGTATTAGAAACTGAACATATTAAAATTGTCTTAAAGGATAATGTTCCTCAATTAGTGGTTCTTTTGTTTTTGTTTTTTTTTTTAAATCCATGGATGAAAACTGTCACTTTAGCATGTAGAGTCTCTTACAGAATCCTGTGCAGTGATTCTAGACTTTTGAAACTGTATGATGTGTTACATTCACAAATTTATTTGCTATCAACATTCCCGTAAAAAAAAAAAAAAAGATAAAGGAAACAACATACCACAAGCTGCTGTAATGATTTTGTGTCAAGATGATCCAATAAACTTTCAAAACAAAGTTGATTTTTTTGGCTTTGTAAGTGGTCCTTTTATAAGACCCTTCCAGTTCGGATGGACCCAAAACCAGGATGTGGATTTGCCCCAGCACTGAATGCAGGAGGGGATGGAGGTGAATGAGGATCCCCTCTCCCTGCCTCGGGTGCAGGGTTAGCTTTAGGGTTAGGGAGCTTCCTAAAGCTCCTTGCCTTCCAAAAGGAGATGAGGAATCCCTACCACCAGCCCTTTGGAAGGCCCTGTCACTAATGTGAAATTACAGGAAAAAGTAATTCAGGCAATCTCGGTTAAAGCTGCATTAATTGTTCTGGTTTTTGGATCGTGGCAGCAGCTAAAATCCAGTATTTGGGAAAATGGGAGCTCTGCTCCTTATGAGGCCAGAAATGGGCTCCTTCTGTCTCTTCCCCTTGGCCCCAGTGGCAGTGGTGACATTGAGATGAGGGTCAGGGCCCTGTCCTGCCACAGCAGGAATGAGGCCTTGGCTTTGCTGGTGCTCCAGAGGTTTCCAGTCCAACCAGAACCTGGGAGAACCATCCTGGGACAGAAATTCCCTGGGGCTGAGTCAGGAGCCACCAGCTCTGCCCCAGCAGAGCCCAGGGACTTGCTGGCTGTTCCTGGCAGAGGAGGGATCCAGGTCCTCTGCTCCAGTGTCCTGGGACAGATCCAGGGCTGGGGGGCTGCAGGGAGGGGGCAGAGCAGGGACCAGGCTCTGCTCTGGGATGTTGAGCAATAGGACAAGAGGAAGGGGCAGGAACTGCAGCACCAGAAATTCCACCTGGACATGGGAAGAACTTTGCTCTGCAGGTGCCCAAGCACTGGCACAGCTGCCCAGGGAAGTGGTGGAGTCTCCCTCAGTGGAGCTATTCCAGAGCCACCTGGACACAATCCTGAGTGCTCAGGGAGGGAGGCTGGGCCAGGTGAGCTCCAGTGCTCCCTTCCACCTTCAATTCCATGATCCTGTGCCCTGGACCAGGCTGGAGCTGGCAGTGCCCCTGGCACACAGGCTCTGCCCTCGGGCATGGCATCATCTGTGCCAGGGAGGAGTCCAGGCAGGGAGGCCCCGGGGCTGGAGCAGGAGGGGGATCAGCTGCTCTGCAGGAGCATCCAAGCTGTTGGATGAGGCTGTGCCAGCTGGGAACAGGGGGAGAGCTGGAGCTTCACCCCTGGGGCTGGGGGCGGGCTGGGAGGGGGTGAACTGGGCTCGGGGGTGGGCTGGGAACACCCGGGGGGTGAACTGGAGATTTGGGGGTCGGGGGGGGCTGTGAGCTCCCGGGGGTGAACTGGAGGTTTGGGGGTCGGGGGTCTGTGAGCTCCTGGGGGTGAACTGGGCTCTGGGGAGGTCACAGGGCACCGGAGATCTCCCGACTGCAGTGGTGGTGTCAAAGGCCTTGGAAAACCCCTTGGATGCAGGATCAGGGGCAGGGGAGGGAGCTCTGCTGGGTGTGGGAACAGCTCTGCTTTTGTCACCTCTTGTTTTGGGGCTTCCCAGGGATTTCCCACCGGAGTTTGACCTGGGTGAGAAATTCCCTTTGAACCACCCCTGGTTCTGCTGCTTCTCTTTTTTATGACCCCAGAGTCCAGGGCTGGGCCTTCCCAACCTTCTTTTAATTTTTCCTTTGGATTTCGGAGTGTTTGGGCCTTTTCCAGGGCTCCTCTTGTCCTTCCAACCCCCCCCCGGGCTCTGTCCCAGCTCCAGCGATTTCCATGGATCGTTAATCCCAGGGAAGGGCTCAGTGGGACACCGGGGGGCCCTGAGAATCCCTGGGCTGTCCCTGCTCCCAAAACCCCACAAATAATGAATAAAGGGGAATAAAAGAGAATAAATAAAACAGAATAAAAGGATAGAAATAAGCAGAATGGAATAAAATTAAAAAATAATAAAAAGAAGAAAATAATACATGTATTAATAGAAGAAAATAAAATAGAATAAGGGAAATGAAATAGAGGAAAGGGAAATAAGTAGAATGGAATAAAAGGAAAAATAAAAAAAAGAAGAAAAAATAAATAGGAAGAAAAGGAAATAAATAAAATAGAATAAAATAAGTAGAATTGAATAAAAGAAAAAATAAAAAGAAGAAAGTAATACATATATTAATAGAAGAAAGAGAAATAAAATAGAATAAGGTAAATAAAATAGAAGAAAAGGAAATAAAGGAAATAAAGGAAATAAAGATAATGAAATAAAAGGGAAAATAAAATAGAAATTAATAAATAAAATAGAATAAAATAAAGTAAATATATTTGAATAAGAGGAAAAAATAATAAAAATAAGTAATAAATTTATAAACAGAATAAAAGGAAATAAAGTAGATAAAATAGGAGAAAAGGAAATAAATAGAATGGAATAAAAGAAAAAAATAAATAAACAGAATAAAATAAAATAAATTAAAATAAAACAAAATAAAATAACAAGAAAAAGAAATAAAGGAAAGAAAATATAATGGAAAACAAAACCAACTAGAAACGAAAAAAAATAGAATAAAAGAAATAGGAAATAAATAGGAAATAAAGTAAGACAGAATAAAATAAAATAGATAAATAAGATCAAATACAATAAAATAAAATGAAATTAAATAAAATTTTGGAATAGAAAATAAAATATGGGATAGCAAATAAAATATAAAATATTGGACTAGAAAATAAATAAAAATAAAATATTGGAATAAATAAAATATTGGAATAGAGTAAAAGAAGGCAGAGTAAAATAAACTGGAGTAATTGTTTTAAAACACGATAAACCAGGACTCGGCCGCCCGGCCAGCTCCGCCTGGCTCTGCCCCGCCCCCCGCGCTCCCTCCCGCGGGGGCGGCCCCTTTAAGAGGAAGTAGCTCCGGCCGCGGGCGGAGCGCGAGGCGCGAGGGCGGCGGGAGCGCTGCGGCCCGAGCGGGCGGTGCTGCGGCCCAGCCCGTGTGCGTCCGCCAGAGCCGGACCGCGGCAGGAGAGGTGCGGGGACAGCGGGGCGGGGGCTGAGGGGACCTGGAGGGGCTGTGAGGGAGTGCGGGGGGGGCTGAGCGCTCTGGGAGGGCTCTGTGAAGGAGCACAGGGAGACCGGGGAGGTTTGAGGCGTCTGGGGGGGAGCAGAAGGGGGTTTGGGGGTTCTGAGGGGTCTGGGAGGGAGCACAGGGGGTCTGAGGGGAGCGGGGGCTCTGGGGTCTCTGAGGGAGCCCAGCGGGGCTGGAGGGTCTGAGGGGTCTGTGAGGAAGCAAAGAAGATCTGAGGGGAGCGGGAGAGTCTCTGAGGGAGTAGAACGGGGCTATGGAGTCTGAGGGGTCTGTGAGGGAGCACTGGGAGACCTGAGGGGAGCGGGAGAGTCTCTGAGGGAGTAGAACGGGGCTATGGAGTCTGAGGGGTCTGTGAGGGAGCACTGGGAGACCTGAGGGGAGTAGGGGGGGTCTGGAGGGGTCTGTGAGGGAACACCGGGGCCCTGCTGGAGGGGCTTCTGTGGGAAGGGGCCCTGGAGGGGCTCGGGGCGGTCCCCGCCTCCCCCGGCCCAGCGCGGGGGTCCCGATGCCCCGGCCCAGCCCAGCCCACGAGTCCCCCCGGCCGGGCCGGGCCCGCCTCGCCTGTTGAGCCGCGGCCGCCGCATCCACGCGCTGGTCTTTAATTATTTGTGTTTCCCTGGGCGGGAGGCGATGGCGAGCGAGGGGCCAGAGCCCCCTCGGAGCCCCCCGGGCAGGGCATGGATGGATCGGGGCATGGGTGGATCACGGTATGGATTAGGGTGTGGATCTGCCTGTCCTGGAGGAGAAACCCCTTGGATGTGACGCCGCAGGGACATCCCCCAGCAGAGCCCTGGCTGGGGTCGGGCGGGGGGTTCACCTGCTGCAGGATTCATGAGCAACCCAAAAATTCATAATGAGGAAAAAGGAACATCACAGAGGGCGAAGGGTTTGCTGGCACAACCCTGAAGTTACAGTCTGTAACTTCCTATTTTATCCCACCTCTTCCCCCTTGACCTCCTGCAGCCCAGCTAATGCCTGTTTCTTTGTAGGCAGAGGCTTAGCCCTGAAGTTTAAACTCCTTAAGCTCTGAACTGCTCAGGGAACGAAGAATTTTCCACTTTTTTTCAGATCATGGTGAGCCACAGCTCAGCTGTCAGGAGGGAGAGCTCATGAGGAGAACTTGAAAGCAAACTCTTGCTCTGCTTCTGTCTCTTGCTGTGGGCTCAGGAATGGTGATCTTACAGAGCTGCCTCTGCTCTGATCTGCAGTACAGAGAGCTCTGCTCCTCCAAAGAAACCTGTGTGAGAGGGACAGGCAAGAGGAAAGGGCAGGAAGTTCTCCAGAGGGAGAGGAAAGGGGATCTGAAGTTGTCCAGTATAGATGTTTAGGAGAACCGTCTCTGTCAGGGGCCCTACTGCCAGTGAAAGGCGGAATTCCCTTCTCCAGATGCTTGGAGCTACAGAGTGGCCACACCTTCTCGATTTCCATCCTTTTTTTTTGGTTTAAAACCCATTTTCTTGTCTGGGAATCTTCTGCCAAGCCACAGGGCAGGGAGGGATCTTTTCTGGGAGATGTGAAACTTCCCCAGCCACCTGTTTATGGCAGTCCCCAGGGCTTTGTCCTTGCACTCTGCTTCCTCTCCCAGCTTTGGGCTCGCACCCAGCTCCCTGTTTGCCTGTTGCTGATCCCTGGACTGCATATTCCATGTTTCATCTTCACTTTCTATCTTAGTCACCTGTGTGTGAGGTGAACCTGGGGAGGAGGGTGAGCTCACGACTCTTAAATCCCCAGAAAGGGAGGAGAGGGGCGCTGGGAGTTGTTGGTGTGGTGGCAAAAGCTGGAGCTGTTGGTTGACATGGAGGAGCTGAGTCCAGGTGCTGAGCAGGGAGCTGGTTCCCTGTGCCTGGAGCTCACCTGGAGCTCACCTGGAGCTCACCTGGAGCTCCTGGGATGCTCTGTGGGACACGTGGGGTTGTGCAGTGAACTGTGCCATTATCAGACATGGGAATGGGCTTGGCCGAGGCTTGGGGAGCTTGGAGGGTACTCAGCATCCTGAGCAAAGTTCTTCCTGACTCCAGCAGCCTCTGGAGCTCTTTGCCAGCTGCTTCCTTGTCCACATGTAACGTGACCCTTCCACTGATGGGATGGGAAGTACCATCTGCACTAGAATGGGGTGATTTAGTCCCATTTTGGAGGTCAGACTGGCCTGATCTGTGCCATTCTTGGTCACTCCTTCTCCTCTGGAAGGACTGGGGATCTCCATGGCCACAGTGCACAGAAGGAAAATGTCCCTTGTGAGCAGTGGAAGTGTCTGGGGTCAGAGCAGAGAGGCTGCAAAACCTTCCCAGTCCTTCCCACAGTGTTCAGGTCTGAATTGCCTTCAACTTCTGAGTTTTAATTTCTTGTGAGGCAGGGAGGTATTCTGTGATTCCTGAGCTCCAATGCTGCTGTAAGTGGCTCCAGAACCAGCTTTGCTGGAGGTTTAGCAGCTTATCTTTAGGAATACGTAATATCCAGCTAATGCTGTCAGTGAAGAGTGCACCTTAGGCTGTGCCTTTATCCTGCTTTTTCCAGGTGCCCTGGGAGGCAGAGTTATCCCTGAGGCCTGGTGTGCTCTGCTGCCTGCTCCCCTCTGGAGCTGGAGCTGTGCTGGAAGTGCTGCTCCGCTCCTGGTGGATTTGGGGGGATTGTTGCTCTGGGTACCTGAAGCAGGAGGGAGGACAGAGGCAGGGAAGGCCAGAAAAACCCAGCAAAGCAACACTTTGCCAGAGCAAAAAATCCCTCCCCCTGTGACAGCTCTGACTTCCTGCAGAAGGCCTGGCTGAGCTCCAGGGGCTGTTGTTGTTGAGTCAGTGTGAGACGAGGCAGCCGTGGGGACGCTCCGGGTGCTCCTGTGTGAGCCCTGTGCTGCTTGCAGGGCAGCCCCTGGGACAGAGGGTGAGCCAGAGCCATCCCAAACGTGCTGTAGGTGGAAGCTGGTCCCATGGCTGCAGTGGAAGGCACTGTGACTCTTTTTTGCAGGCCTCTCTTGGAGCTGCCTTTGCCTCCTTCTCCTTCCTCTCGCTGTGGCAGGAGGTCCTATGATGTGGTTGGTGTTGAGGTGATCCCCGACTCCACATCCGTGGGCTCATTCCATGCCTGGAGCTTTGCTGATGTGTTGGGTTACTGCTGTATCCCAAGGGGAAGAGAGGCCTCGTGGGCCTCATCTCAGGGAGAAACAATCCTGCTGTTCATCCAAACGCGTGACACTGGCGTGGGGACAGGGAGCGTTTGTCCATGGGATTATGCATGATCTGGGAAAGACTGGCTGTTTAGCCAGCTCGTGCTCCAGCTCAGCCCTGGGGATATCCCACACTCCCCAGGACCCCAGTGGGAGATCCCACACTCCCCGGGACCCCAGGGGGAGATCCCACACTCCCCGGGACCCCAGGGGGAGATCCCACACTCCCCGGGACCCCAGGGGGAGATCCCACACTCCCCGGGACCCCAGGGGGAGATCCCACACTCCCCGGGACCCCAGGGGGAGATCCCACACTCCCCGGGACCCCAGGGGGAGATCCCACACTCCCCGGGACCCCAGGGGGAGATCCCACACTCCCCGGGACCCCAGGGGGAGATCCCACACTCCCCGGGACCCCAGGGGGAGATCCCACACTCCCCGGGACCCCAGGGGGAGATCCCACACTCCCCGGGATCCCAGAGTGGCTGTTAAAATAGTGCCATTTGCCGTAGTCATTTTTATCCTCCTAATGCAAAATCTGTGCTCCAAACTGGTGTTACCTTTCACTTGGGTGGGGGCAGATCCCAGGGTTAGAGGAGATGGAACTGCTGCTGGCTCCAGAATATCCCTGTGCAGTGAGGATGGTTCTGTGGAGCCTGCAGAAGCAGGGAGAGCTGAGCAGCTCAGCCGGGACTCAAACACCAGAGTGCCCTGACAGCCCTGTGGTGGGACAGCAAGGGGTCTTCCCAAAGGAGCAGGCCTGGGACCTGGGAAAGAGGGAGCTGCCCCTGGCATGCTTTATCCCAGAAACATTTGTGTGTGCAGTTAACCCGTGTGCTGGAGTCAGGACCCAGCCTGTCAGCTCGCACAGCCCTGCAGGGACCAGCTCTGCCTCCACACGCAGCCCCGTCCCGCCGGGACCCGTGGAGCCCTTCCAGGGGCTCTGACATTGCAAGGGATGCAGATGGCACGTAAGAGGCAGCAGAGCTGGCCCTGGCTCAGTGACACCCGGGCTCCCTGCAGTCACTGCTGCTCCACGGGAACAGTTTGAGATTGCAGCATCTGCTGCATGACCTTCCCCTTGTGGGAGGGGAACCAGGAGGGGACCTTTTGCAGAACTTACTTTTGTCCCCTCTGTGGCTGCAGGGAGGAAAGCCAGGGGGACAAACCACGCTGGAAATTCAGTGTTCCTGCCTTCCCTCTCTGCTGCCAGGCAGGGTTATCCAGCCTCTCTGGCACTTGCTCCCTCAGCATCCCCTTGCAGTGTGAGCTGTGTCATCCATAACGTCCCTCCTGCCATTACCCATGGTCTGGATCCAAATCCTGAGCTCAGAGCCAAGCAGTGAACTCCCTGTTCCTCCATCTGCCCGGGATGGATCGAGTTGTCTCATTCCTGGGTGACCTGGGCTCTGCCAGAGCTGCTGCCCTCAGCTCCACTGGATCTTCTGCAATCCCAGCTATGGCTTCATTTAACAGGGCTTTTCCCTTTGTTCCATTAACTACCTTGACTTTGGAATTGGCTGGAATGCTCAGCCTTGCAGGGGCAAGGAAGATGCCAGTTAAAGCCCAGCATAACTTTTTTGTCTTTTATTATACTCTTTTTCTCATGCAGATGGGCTCTGCCTCTGTATGGCTTAGGGGCATGAAAAGAACCTGTCCTGCTCCTGGAAAACCAGCCTCTTTCCTTCCAAACCAGCTTCTTTCCTTCTAAACCAGCCTCTTTCCTTCTCCTAAGCCAGCCTCTTTCCTGGAAGGGCCAGGAGATGTGGGAAGTGGCTGGA